TTGTATTTTAATCACACATGGACTCTCAGTCTGAATTATTTTACTCCGGCACTGCTGGACCATCTTATCTCTGCTAAATACCATTTTTTTCAATATCTCACTATCACCCAACAGTCAGGCACAAATAAATCCCTAACAGTCATACAAATGCCTTCTGAAATAGATGGGACAGACTTTCCGAAAGGCAGTAAGGATCTTCTGGGTGTAGCATGGTTGTGGGGTGGCCACAGAGAAAGCACAGGAATGGATGATGGGTGGACCATGCCACTCTAAGAGGGCACCCTGAACACATGAAGCTGCCTTCTACTGAGGAAGACTACTGTCCCTTTCAGGGTCACTGTTGTCTATGACGACTGGAACTGGCTGTGCAGAGAGCCCAGGGCAGAGGGCCCTCCCCATCAACTCTGACCTGACCATGGCTCAAGGCTGAGCATCTGCATGGCCTGCAGAAGGTCCCAGGTTCAGTCCCCAGGACCTCCAGTTGAAGGGACCAGGTGGGAGGCGATGTGGAAGACCTTCGCCTGAGACCCTGGAGAGCCACTGCCAGTGTGAGTGGACAATACTGACCTTGACAGACCAATGGTCTGATTCAGTACAGGGCAGCTTCATGTGTGTTCACGTGTCATCCTTTTAACGGGAGATGGCAGGATTGAACCTGAGACCTTCTGCCTCTAAGACTGATGCTCTTACCACTGATCTGCAGCCTTCACTTTCAATAGGCATTGGTCTGTGGAATGTAACTAGGATGCAGGTTTGTGAGGGGACAGCTTTAAGCAACTGCAGGCTTCAAGGCACTGGCCGGAGACTCTTAAGCTTGACAGTTCGCAACAACTAAATCCAGCGTTCTGTAGTGGTGACGTTCTTGGACTAGGATATGAGACACCCCAGGTTCAAATCCCCCCTCTGCTGTAGAAGCTTGCTAGGTGACCCTGGGCCAGTCAGACACTCTCAGGCTAACCTACCTCACAGGGTTGTTGTCAGGATAAAATGGAGAAGGAAAGGAGAATGATGTAAACCACTTTGGGTCCCCACTGGGGAGAAAGGTGGGAAATAAATGAAGTGAATAATTAACTAAATTCTAGAGTCCTGGGAGACTCCATAAATACTCACCCATCCTCCCTGGGCTTGGATCCAGGCCATGATATGTTCTTGGATATATTCCATTGTCCAGCTAATTATGGTCCTTATGAGGTCAGGTACCTTAGTGCAAATCGCCTGTCCGTGGGGTGGCAAAGGGAACATGGAGAGAAGAGCCAGTTATTAGCAGCAGTCAGAACCAGAGGGTGGATGGCCGGAGGGGCAGGGGGATGGTGGGGCAACAGCAGTGGCACACTGACCTTCAGGACCAACTTGCAGGCGAAGTAGAACAAAGCCACCACACGGCCCCAGTTGAAGGTCCCATCCGCGAACATGTCTGCAGCCACCCGGAAGAAGACTTCCTTTGGAGGGTACGCCTGCACTTGCTCTATCATCCTGCAGGGGGTGGTATCAAAGCAGCCCGGATTAGACACGTGCCCACCAATGCTCCCTCTAAGCTGTGGAGTCCTGTGAGCAAAGATTCTGCTTTTTGAGCTACTGGCATTAAAGTTGGGAGCAGGTGATTTGGCTATTGCATAAACCAGTTTGCTCTGGAGCCATCCTTCCTGAGCCAAGACAAAAATGTGTGGGCCAGAGGCTAAGAAACTGTGTGCTAGCTCACACTAACTCAGCTTAGAGGGAACACTGGTGCCCACCCACAGAGAACCCGGTGGCAACATCACAGTTTCTGAAGAAGGAAACCTCAGCGCCACAAGCGCAGACCAAAGAGGGTTTTTAACAGGAAGAAGCTGGCCAAACTTCTGTTTCTGGAAAACAAATATCATTTAATGTATTTAGCATGAGTCTGCCAGAGAGGCTGAGCAGAGGCACACCAAGTCATAGACCTCATGGAGACCAAAGGATCATCCCTTCTACAGCAAGACTACCCAGAGCTTAGTAGTCGAAACCCACCCTGGCATTAATCCATGAATCCTTGCTACAGTATGTCATAAGCGGAGAGGCGTGGCCAACGTACCAAAGATAGCTTCATGAGCCACGTTGCATAGTACGGAGGAACAGAGGTCATTGCGGGGGGGATCGCAGTTCCCCCGGGTGAGATACGGGGGGCGGGGCATATGACGAAGCCCCACCCCCGCATCCGGCCCTCATTAAGCCAGGAGGAGGCAGGAGAAGAGGGAGGGTAAGTTGCTTCCTCCCTGCCTCTCCTCACCCCTGCCTGCCTGGGGCCAGGGAGGGCCTTCGCGGGGCTTCCTTGCACTCCCGCCGGCCTTGCAGGTCCACCGCCGGGCCCCTCATGGGGCTCGGCAGTGGAGCTGCAAGGCCGGCGGCGGCGGCCGGGACCGTTGGGGGCGGGGTGTGTGGCCTTATGACACACTTCCGGTGATGTCGGGGGTGTGGCCTTATGACAAACCTCCGGTGATGTCAGGGGTGTGTGGCATATGCTAATGAGTTATGCTAATGAGTCCCCCTAGCTCTTTTTCTATGAAACGACCCCTGCGGAGGAATAACCAAATTAAACCATCCCTGGATCAGCTGATTTAGGAGAAAACTCCTGCCAGGCAATCAGTTACAGACTGCCATCCAGAAGTGATCCTAAAAGAAAGCTTATCATAGCAGAAACTCAGACTCTGTTCTCTCCAGCTATAGGACTGGCCGATGCCCTGCTGGAGAGAGAGGGTACCCCAAAAGACTCTTAATTAATCTACCGAGTTTCAGTCTTCTCGATCTCTCTGTGCTGAGTAAGACGATAATCCAGCCCGACAAACACAATGTGAGATGGCTGAACTTCCTCCCCATTGGCCAACATCTGTTCAAACTCTGGAGGGGAGGGGGGCTATGAAGATGAGAAGGGGAGCAGAGAGGCGGTACAGAATCGGTAGCCACTTTGATCCTCAACGCTGAAACCCAACAGAACCTGTCAGCAGATTCAGACTTGTGCAGCGTATGCTTGAAACCCACCTCTGTAGCTCAGTGTTGCCATCAAGTTCGTCCCCGATCCGGCGCAGGCACTCACTCAACCTCTTAGTGCTGGGGTCACACGGCTGGGACTCTGAACCTCCCAGTTCTGCTATCAGTGCATCATAGCCGGAATCTCCACAGCGCTGAGCTCGGTCCCTGATAAAGCTGTTGCGGGAACAAGAATGGAGGAGACCACCACCATCATGCACCAGAAAGAATTGGATTCCCACAGAAGCCCTACGCTGCACCAATGACTCATAGACTAAACACATTCCCCAGTTCCTCTGGTCTACAAATATAGCCCCTTTAGGGCACTTAAGGGCTGTGGCTCAGTAGCAGGGCATCTGCTTGGCATGCAGAAGGTCCCAGGTTCAATCCCCGGCATCTCCAGTTAAAAGGACCAGGCAGGAGGTGATGGGAAAGTCCTCGGGCTTGAGACTGGAGAGCCGCTGCCAGTCTGAGTAGACAGTACTGACCTTGATGGACCAAAGAATCTGATTCAGTATAAGGCAGCTTCATGTGTTGACTCACCCCTTGAGAAGAACCGTTCCTGTCTTAAGGATCTGGTCAGAAGTGGTGCCTGGAAGGAAAATAAGCTCTGACACAGAAAACTTGCCAGCCTCCCAGGAAAACCTTGAATCCTGCCCCCACCCCCAATCTGCTTTTCCAGTCTGGGCGCCCATTTCCTACCCCTTCGTGAGGTGTGGCAGGAAACAAAGGACAGGCTAAGAAGACAAGTTGCCAACAAGCCGCCCCTCCTAGCCCAGTCAGCCCCCCAGTTTTGATTTCAGTTTCCCCCAAGTCGTCTCCCTTTCCCCATCAATAGGATTCTGTTATGACTAACATTCGTCAAGCGCTTTGTACAGTTTATACGCACCTCTCAGAATTGGCTGACTCATGTGGAGAAACGGGCTACTGGTTACCAGAGAAGGAGTGGCTCGGGCATTATTGCTCACCACGCAGACCCGCACTGATCATTCCCCATATTTATCTCCCACCCCTCCTCAGAACTAAAGGTGCCGTGCACAGCTGGGTTTATCCCCTGGGCAGTGTTCCCTCTAAGCTGAGTTAGTGTGAGCTAGCTCACAGTTTTTTAGCCTCCGGCTCACACATTTTTGACTTAGCTCAGGAAGGAGGGCTCCAGAGCAAACGGGTTTATTCAGTAGTCAAATCGCTCCCTCACAGCTTTAATGCCAGTCGCTCACAAAGTAAAGTTTTTGCTCACAAGACTCCACAGCTTAGAGGGAGCATTGATTCCCCCCTCCCCCATTTTTTAGCTTCATAACCACCTTCTGGAGAAGAGGAGGAGGAGGAGGAGGAGGAGATTGGATTTATACCCTGTCCTTCACTACCCAAAGGTGTCTCAGAGCGGCTTACAAACTCCTTTCCCTTCCCCTCCCCACAACAGACACCCTGTGAGGTAGGTGGGGCTGAGAGAGCTCTGACAGAAACTGCTCTTTTTCAAGGACAGCTGTGCCAGAACCATGGTTTGCCCAAGGATTCCTGCCTTCCTCCAGTCCGTCGGGTGCCATGCGGCTCTTTGTGCTGCTTTGAGACCGCTTGCAGAGGAGACCTCGGGGGACTACGGCTTTGGACTGGCCTCACAACCGAAGTGTAATGTCTAGACCAGCCCTGAGTCAGCAGTCAAGGAAGGAGTCAGAGCCACATCTCTGGAGTAGCATGCCATCCACACAATGAAATAGAAATCAGAGCCTCACATTCTCTGGTGTTCACATCTCCCTCCCCCCACAGTTTTTATTTTTATTTTATTTTATTGTATTTATACCCCGCCCTCCCCGCGAACGGGCTCCCACTTCTGCAAGATCCCCCCCCACACAGTGTTTATATTTTATTTTAATTGTTTTAAAATGTATATTCCCTTGTTCTCCCCCGTTCTACTTTATCTTCTTAACAACAACCCTGTGAGGTAGTTTAGGCTGACAGTGTGTGATGGACCCAAGGTCACCAGAATGCTTTCACGGCAGAAAAGGGATTCAAATCCAGTTCTTCCAGGTCCTAGTAATTAATAATAATTACCGTATTTCATTGTGTGTATGTAGTATAGCCAGGAGATCCTAAGATTTTCTGGCATCCTAACATTCTAGCTTTTTAGCGTTAGGCACCACTAGGTGGTGAGCTAGACTTGTTTTTTGGCCTGAGAGAGCTGTCACTGATCCAAGGTCACCCAGCTGGTCTCAGATGGAGGAGTGGGGAATCGAATCCAGTTCTCCAGCTTAGAGTCCGCCGCTCTTAACCACTATGCCACACTGGCTCTCTACCCAGATCCGAGTCTGACACTTAAACCGCTTTGCCACACCTATTCATCAAAACTGAGTCTGAAAGAACTATATGTCAGCGAAGCCGTCTCCTCACACAAAGGACGGCCCGTTCATCCACCCACAACACCTCCAGCCCCACAGAATGCATGGCACCAAATGATGAAAGAAATATTGCCATCGGGGTACAGGAACTGTGGGGCGACTGCAAGCCAATCACATGTGCTCACCCTAACCCACCCCAAAGGATGTTGTGAAGATAAAATGGGGGAGAGAAGAAGGATGTAATTGGCTTTGGGCCCTCACAGCGGAGGAAGAAGGCTACATAAAAGAAGTAAATCGATTTTTTAAAATGTTAACCTAATTGAGCCCCACCCAAGGTTTAATCTCTTAGCAAACAACCCAAGTTTGGGTAACTGCATCAGCACACGTTCATGTTACCTCTTCCTTCCCCACCCCGATCTAAATTTAGAGTGTAAAATCCACAGGGCGGGGATCCATCCCCCCCATTTTGTTAGCTGTTGCGCAATTTTAAATAATACTATTCATTGTCCTAATTTTGTTGTATCGTTTCTCGAGGACAGTAGAGTTGCCAACTTTTTTTTTTAACTGGCTGCCGTTTCTGTTATCAACCATGATACTTTTAGGTGATAAATGCCTCTCCACCATGATGTGAAAAGCTTCGCTGGTTAAGAACTGCGGCAGATTGAAACTGCTGCCAAAGACACAAGAACGGCTGAGACTCCAGAGAGGTGGCCAAATGACAAAAGAAGAAAAGTTGTTTTTCACACCCCGTCTTTCACTACCCGAAGGAGTTTCAAATCAGCTTACAATCGCCTTCCCTTCCTCTCCTCACAACAGACACCCTGCGAGGTAGGTGGGGCTGAGAGAGCTCTGTGAGAACTGTGACTGACCGAAGGTCACCCAGTTGGCTTCATGTGGAAGACGGGGAATCAAACCCAGTTCTCCAGATTAGAGTCCACCGCTCTTAACCACTACATCATACTGGCTCTCAGAGTCTTGTGACACATTAAAAACCAACACATTTTACTATGGCATAGCAAGAACAGGAGAGTTGGCTACCCGACACACAAAACATTTGGCTATAAGCAATGCTCCCTCTAAGCTGTGGAGTCTTGTGAGCAGAAATTCTACTTTGTGAGCCACTGGCATTAAAGTTGTGAGCAATCGATTTGGCTGCTGCATAAATTAGTTTGCTCTGGAGCCCTCCTTCCTGAGTTCAGACAAAAATGTGTGAGATGGAAGCTAAAAAACTGTGAGCTAGGTCACACTAACTCAGCTTAGAGGGAACCCTGGCTATAAGGTCCACAGTCCCCATCCATTTCTTTTTTGGGGAAAAACCTTCCATTTGTATTCAGCTTTAATAATTAATTTACAGAAGTACAGCCAACAAATAAACCATATCACTAATTAAGAAGGAGGGCAGATCTCATGGCACTTTAAGGACTTAAAGCTTTTGTACAGAAATGAGCTCTTTGTCAAGTGTACGACAGTCCACTGTTTACATTTGTTCCCTATCATATACAGAAAGCCATACTGTGTGGTGGCTAGAGTGTCAAACCAGGATCCGGAATACCCAGATTCAAATCTGTCCTCTGCCAAGGAAGCTCACGGGAAACCTATCCTACTCCTCAGGGTTGTTGTTGTAAGGATAAAATGGATATAGGGAGAATGTTGTAAGCTGCTTTGTCTCCCCACTGGGGAGAACACACAGGATATGAATACCTACATAAATCAACAAATGATATGATTTTGACCATGACAACACTTCTTACAACTGCCCTGAAGTGGGCTCTAGTCTATTAAAGCTTCTGCCAGTATATATATCTTAGCCTTCAAGGTACCCCAAGACTCCCTTCAGTTTTTGCCATAACAGACTGACACAGCATCCCTCTGTAATTCATCTTGTATATGGGATTTATCATCAGACAGAAATCCAGCATAATGTACTAGCTTAAAGGGATATACAGGGCAATCCTAAACAAAGTTTCACTTTTCTAAAGCCATGGATTTAAACGTACTTAGAAGGATTAACTGGCTTTAGGCTTGTACTCAACGTTACAGAGCAGGAGACTCAGTCTTGCCTCCACCCAAACTCACTAAGGTAGTCAAGCCACCCACCCTCCACTTCAGCAATAATACTGGCCCTACCTTACAGGGCAGTTGTAAGAAGTGTCGCCAAGACAAGACAACAACCAAAACCAATGTAAGACATTTAGGATGCAATGCCAATGAATGTGATAAGTTTGTGGAAGATAATCAGGTGGGATGTATATGACAAAATGGAACTGGTGGTCAGTGTAGCCAGCCTGCACAAATACCTAATCCAAAACACACGGCCTGTTCTCCTTTTTACCTTGTATTGTTTTTTAGCATGACTACAACAACTACAGCAGCAACTACAACAAAAACTAAGTTTCCCCCGTCTCATGAAAAGCTGTTAGTTTTATGTACGGACATCCACACCCCGCTTGAGGACTGACCAGCCGGAGGCAGCGTGCGGCACCCAAAACGTTCCCAACCAGCAAATGCAACAGCCACGATTCACGGCGAGGAGGACCACCATCGAAAGGTGCTTCAGACTGCCACACTGAGGGTAGGGCCCTGGGGGGGAGGGGGGCACGGCGACATAATGCCTGCAGTACCGTAGATGCAGTGCCAACAAATGCAATAAGCTTGTGGAAGATAATCAGGTTTGGCTCTGATGAGGCGGGATGCATACGACAAAATGGAGAGTTTCTGCTTTTTCTGCTGTAGCAGGGACTTGAGAGACTCTGCTTTCCATGACAAACAAACAACCACACGCCCACCTTGGTAGCAACCACCGCGCCCCCCAACACACCATCGCCCTCCCCTCCCCTTATTGTCCCCGCTTCGCCTTCCTCCCGTCCCTCTTACCCGCTTTCTGGGGCGGGGGCTCCGGCTCGCGCGCTCTCCCAGCCGCCGCCATGTCCGCGCTCCGCCAACACCAGCCGCCGCTCCGCCCGCGCGCCAAAGGCCGGCAGAAGAAACTCCGCCGCCCGCCGCTCCGGCTCCTCCTCCCTTCTGGAGAATCACATGACCGGGCAGCCGGCAGGAGACGAGGAGGAGAAGGGAGGGTGGCAGAAAGACACCCGCAGAGAAAGAGGGGGTGGGGCTAGCGGGAGTCACGTGACAAGGGTCAGCGCTCTCGCGCTCTCTCTCAGGAAGTGTGCGTGCACACGAAATCTCATACCTTGAATAAACCTTTGTTGGTCGTAAAGGTGCCACTGGACTCTAAATGTGTTCTCTCTTGGTCTCTCTCTCATTTCCCACCCCCCGGAACCAGTGGCTTTCAAACTGTGTTGCATGCAAAAAAAGACTTCCTTGGAAGCTTATTGGGGTGGGGGTTCCCTTGAATTTTATGTATTTATTTGCTGCCATGCATTGATCTCACCGCCCACCTGATCCAATGTCAGCCCTACTTATGCATCTTGGCTGTGACTGGCCTCTCCTAATGGCCGTCCCCCCCTTCTCCCAACTTCTTTTTCCTGTAAGTGGGGCTTGAGGAGATTTCATTTCATTGTGTCTGAAGCAGAGGGGTTTGGACACAAAAGCTTATACCTTGAATAAAATTTTGATGTTCTTAAAGGTGCCGCTGGACTCAAAATTCGTTTTGCTGCTTCAGACCAACAGGGCTACCCACTATCTAGTATGTTTCATTGCTCCTCTCTCCGGAGAGAGCTCATGAAAGCATGCAGGATTCTCTCCCCTCTTCCGTTGTATACTCAGAACTGCCCTGTGAGGTAGGTTGTAGTGTCAGAGTGCAGATCTAGGCTCTAGGGGATACCAGGCTTGAATTCCCCTCCTTGCCATGGAAGCCAGGTGGGTGATTTTGGGCCAACCACACCCTCTCAGCCTAACCTGCCTCACAGGGTTGTTGTGAGGAGAAAATGGAGAAGAGAATGATGTTGGGTCCTCATTGGGGAGAAAGGTGGGGTATAAATGAGGTAAATAAAGAAGTTAGGCTGGGAGATCGTGACTGGCACGAGGACACCCTGTGAGCTTCCATGGCAGAGTGGGAATTTGAACCCATAATAATGTTAAACACAGTTTTTATGAGAACAAAGTCTGAGTCCAGTGGCACCTTTAAAACCAACAAAGCTTTTGTGTGCATGCACACTTCTTCAGATACTTATACCCAGAATAAAACTTGGTTGGTTTTAAAGGTGCCACTGGACTCAAACTTTAGTCTGTTGCTTCAGACCAGCACAGCTACCCACCTGAATCATACAGTTTTTATGAGTATCCATGAAATAGGAGTTTTCACACAATAAGTTTTCATGTCAAGAAAGATTTGAACCCAAGATTTCCCTGAATCTTGTGCAACACTAGCCACTCTGGCTCTCAGTGAATGAAAAAACAGGAAGTGGTGGACAGTTGTTTACTTAACCTTTTTCTTGCATTCTGGATTCACAAGGTGGCTATGGCTCACAATCATAAAAGTACAAAAAAAATACAATAGACAAGACTGTATTGTGTCTCTATCCAACACTTGCATCCATGAAACCTGGAGTAAAATTTTAAAAGCTTCCGGGAAAGGCAGCTTACTGGCAGCGACAGACCGTTCCCGGGGTGTAAACAAAGTGTTGATTCACAGACAAACTTCAAAACCAAAAGTTGTGTAATACTGTTCATTATGGCCAATCAAACTATCTGCAAAAGCGGGCATCATTAAACAGTGGCAAACCTTTGAGCTCTCTGGGACTTTTTTTTTTTTGGTCAAGCTGGATGTTCAATACAAAGGGCTTTTTTAAAAGGAAGAGGAAGGGAAAACGCATTGTTTCCAGGCATAATTGCTGAAGCTCATCACGAAACGGTGGATATGCGCTCTTCACTTAGGGCATGATGAGAGCCAGTGGGTCCGTGTTGTGCACCCATGGGAGATAGCTCTGCATCCCAGAATTCTCTGTGGCAATCATGAACGGGTCCCTTGGCCAGATGCCTTGATGGGAAAAGGGCTCCCTCCCCCAGGGGAGGAAGCTTGAAACCTGTGGGGCTAGAGACATACCATTGCCAACTCTAAATACTCTGTACTGTTGGGCTGCAATCCTATGCATGATTTCATAGAAGTCATCCACAGTGAACATTGTGGGGCTTACTTCAGAACAGATATGTGCAGCAGGGATGGTGCTGTTTTTGTAGCATCAGCTTTGCTAGGCTTGATTGCACTTCGTCGGATACGATGATGCAAATCCTCAGTCAGCAAGGTTTTTTTTAATAGAGGAAATGGGTGGGAAGGAGCACATTGCCTCAAACGTAGTTTTCTCAGACCCAGGAAAACTTTCGTTTCAATCCTTTTGTTAAACTTGAAGTCGGCCAGAACAAAGTCTGAGTCAAGTGGCACCTTTGAGACGAACAAAGTTTTGTTCAAAGTGTAAACACACTTCTTCAGACTACTACAGGATTCTTCTATTTTGTTGTCACTACAAAGGGCCAGCGAACTGGGCACTAGAATAAGTTAATACATCACAGTTTGGGAGTTCCAGTAAACAAATACAATTGAACTCCGCCCCAAAGGCCATCCAGACAGCATTTTCAGTTATTGTCTCTGGGCACAGAGGGGAGCCACTGAGCGCTTTTTTCCGTGGTGAAATCCTGCCTTATATGGCGCGGGGAAGTTTTGTTAAACCGGAAGTCCCCATGACGCAAGTGACAGCTTAATCCCACCCACTCTTTAGGCGGGAAAAGCGTCCTTTAAAAAGAAAAGCGGATATAGACAAACCCTATATCGGGGTTCTCATAGTCACTTCCGGACAGAAACGAATTGATGGGGCCTGTCAGCCCCTCCCACAGAAAAACTCATAGCCGCTTCCCATGTTCCCCATACAACCGCCCAGCCCTTTTCTATCTCTATGGTGCCGCTCCGCGCAATAGCTTTGATCACGTGACAGTCCGTGGGCCACCGCGTCCCTCCCCCAGGCTCGTCAAAAGCTGGGGGAAGTGATTGGCTACTAATTTAGTCACGTGAGGAAAGGGAATGCCTTTTTGAATGCTAGGAGGACAGTGCCTGATGGGAAGAAGCAAGTTGGTGGGGTTTGCTGTTTTGGTAGAGGAGCTGACAGGCGACGGCGGAGCCAGGTCCGCTTATCGTAAACAAGGGGGCTGCGGTCCTGTACGCACTTCCAGGGTAGCAAATCTTATGGTGGTGGGGGGGGGGGGGGGCTTCTGAAACGATGTGGACAGGGTAATGGTAAAGGTTCCCTTGCTCGAAAGCCAGTCGAATCCGACTCTAGGGTTGCGGTGCTCATCTCCGTTTCCAAGCCGAAGAGCCAGCGCTGTCCGAAGACGTTTCCGTGGTCATGTGGCCGGCATGACTAAACACCAAGGCGCACGGAACGCTGTTACCTTCCCACCAAAGTGGTACCTATTTATCTACTTGCAATTTCTTGCTTTCGAGCTGCTAGGTTGGCAGGAGCTGGAACTAGGGACGGGAGCTCACTCCGTCATGCGGCACACTCGGGTCTCGAACTGCTGAACTACCGACCTTCCACAGCCTGCAGTTCAGCGTCTTAACCACTTGAGCCACCGCACAAGCACAATTCATGAAGCAGTAGAAAAGAGCAAGAGGCCAGTAGCACCTTAAAGACTTAACATTTGTGGTGGGGTGTGATGAGCTTTCATGAGTCGCTGCTCACTTCTTCAGATGCAGCTAGAAGGGGAGTCCACCTGTCCTGTATATTGGAAAGTGGAGTGATGTCAGATGCTGAGTGACATTTGCAGGTGTGATTGGACAGACT